TGCTCTAATTTTCGAAGGTTAAATTTCAGGGCTAATGCCAAGCCAACGCACTAATTCCTTTCAATCTTTTAAGGGAAGGATATGAAAAAGTCACATATGACCTCAAACAACTGATACATTTAAGAATGTTAATAAACGTATTTTTGTTATTTACATGTGGAACTGTATAATAAGAGAATCCATAAAAACACACTCAAGATGTGTAAACAAAGAATACATTTAAATTAACAAAATCTTCAAACATGCCGCAAAAAGCACACCAAAAAAATAAAGTTCCTACAAAACTTAATCTTTCTGTCTCCATTAAGAATTACTGGTAAAAAACAGATGCATACCTTCTGTAGATTATAGTGTTTCCAGCTTTAGTTGCTTAACTTTTTCAAGTTCTAAACATACATGCAACAATTTATACATGTACAGGTATACACAAAACACATACTGTAACAGTGGCTGTCTGCAAAAAATTCTAACAACTGTAAGGAGAATTTAAGGTATTTACTGTACATTAAAGTGTCCGCTCTAAACCCATTTTTAATCTGTGCACCCTCTTTAAACAAATTTACCTGAAGTGTCCAGGCCTCTGAGTTGGCCATGAATGCGATGAACATTGAGCTTCGCTGCAATCTCTTTTCCTTTCTCTATGCCAGCGTTAGACCTCAGTGAGCCAGAAGACTGGGGTTGCATTTTTGTTGCAGATGCGTACTTCTCAAACGTCACTGACGATCTCCCATGTTCCAGAGTATTCGCCGTTTCTTCCACAATGCCCCTGGGGTGGATGAAGTAATGTTTAATTTACTGTATGACAGCAATAAAATACATACTGACTTCAACTGACAAAAAAAAAAATCAACCTATTTTACATTCACAGTTAAGAACGGACTATTTGTAGACTTCAGGGGTAAAATAAAACAAGTGCCTATATGTACCAACCATCGTACAAGTGAAGGTAATAGCATGCCCGTCTCTGAAACTGGCTCACTCAAGTTTACTGATGACGTAATGAATGACAGAATGGATTCTGTGTCATACAAAAACATTGTCTGCTTATGTAGAAAACACTTATTGGGTGGTGTTTCACCAAGCACTGTGTCAATAACCTAAACCATCTGGCCAATACAACCAAAGACTTTTTAGGAGGAAAAAAAAAAGAGGAAAGTATTAAAGACTGATCAAGTCAATCCAATTGATTCCACATTTTACATGCCGAAGAAAAAACTGAAGTTGAATCCCCAAAACAGGGGTTTGGCTGTAATAAAGCAACTAAAATGGTTATACAAATAGAGTGGAGTATACAAATAGAGTGGAGATCTCAATGATCTAAAGTCAATTACTCCCTCAAAGGGATATGCATCCACATACTGGGCTTTATGCTGACATATTCTTAAATTCAATGTGTTCAAGCATGTGAAATCACAGAGTTGAACACAGAGAACATTTCTGTTTAATATGATCATAAAATGCATGCATGGAATTACCCAAAAATAAAATCTGTATTATTTTGTATTTATGATTCATATTAATCTCACGATCTCATGATCACACAAAACAATTGCTTGAATGGGAACACAAAAGCACCATTTTTGACTAACTGGTGTCCCACAAAATGTAGAGGGTACTAAATACATATATAAACGGGCATACCGTGCTTATGCACAAATAATACTAGATATTATTGACAACAGGAAATAAAACAACTGTACTTTTTATCACAGAAAATATTTTCTAACTACTGAAAAGAAAAGAAGCATTCAGAGGCTTTCTATTTTAATTGCATTATGCCACATCAATCATTTCACCTGTTCATTCGCAGCTGGGTTCCTATTCTGTCGAAGCACAATGCCACAAGAGACACGTGAATAATGTTTTTATTGGAGTTTGAGGGAGAACATTCTTCCACTGAGGCTTGCAGAAGACACAGATTAACCTGCAGGGACCAAGAAAGAGGGGTCACACACTGTGGTTAGAAAGCACAGAATAAGCTGGGAAGAAAAGAGCTACTCAATGACATCAAAAAGTTGCTCCAGTGATCTGATCCAGTGGACTGCTGAGAAAAAGTTAAATGTTATTTAAAACACACATCACTGTTGGTTCTTCTCATATAATTAAATGTCTGTTACAAAATTTAAGCCTGGTCAGTACCTGGATGGGAGACCTCCTGGGAAAAACTAAGGTTGCTGTTGGAAGGTGTTAGTGGGGCCAGCAGGGGGTGCTCACCCTGTGGTCCATGTGGGTCCTAATGCCCCAGTATAGTGACGGGGACACTATACTGAAAAACGGGTGCCGTCCTTCGGATGAGACGTAAAACCGAGGTCCTGACTCTCTGTGGTCATTAAAAATCCCAGGACATTTCTCGAAAAGAGTAGGGGTGTAACCCCGGCTTCCTGGCCAAATTTCCCATTAGCCCTTACCAATCACAGCCTCCTAATAATCCTCCTCTATGAATTGGCTTAATCACTCTTCTCACTTCCCCACTGATAGCTGATGTGTGCTGAGTGTTTTGGCGCACTATGGCTGCCATCGGATCATCCAGGTGGATGCTGCACACTGGTGGTGGTGGAGGAGAGTCCCCATTACCTGTAAAGCGCTTTGAGTGGAGTGTCCAGAAAAGCGCTATATAAGTGTAAGCAAATAGTATTATTATTAAAATGAGAGCACAAACCTAAAGTTTGAAACCCAAATCATAGTTTGTTAAATATCTTTCAAATGCAATCATCTGGCCTTAATACCTGAATTTAATCACTCCAGGATTATGTACAAAATCCCACAGTGATGTACAGATACCACTTCATCCAGCAGTGAAGTGCAGCGCCATGAGGTTGTCATGCAGCAGCTGTTACATGGTAGTAGCCTCAGGGCACGGCACATCACGACCAAAGTAGTGGATTAATAGAGTAATGGAGTTAAGGGTCATCTTAAATTAGGCCAGACTGCTCAATCCCAGAGTAGAGTTTAGCCAAGATGTCTAGTTTAAAACTCCAAACCGTTTTGATCAGTGCCACGGGATCTTTAGTGAACAAGTAGTAAGGATCTTGGTTTAATGTCCAACCTGCGAAATCTCTTGCAGCATAAAGTCTCCGGTCAGCATACTGGGACACCAGTGTTTGAAGGTTGTGGTGCAGCCTGTAGTTACTTACTGGTCCACAACTTCCAAATACAGCAGCAACCTGAATTTGCTGAGAGGGCTCCCATCCCACTACTGAGCAGGCTTGTCTCACTCCTGAAAGCTGACAAAATCAGGCTAGAAGGCTGCAAACGCAGCATTGATTCTCTTTGAGAATGTGTAATGTTTAAGGTGAAAACAGCCCTCAGAATAAAAAAATCCTTGAAACTAAAGGCCAGGGATGTGACTTTGATTTATGAGTCTAGTTGTTAGAAGGCAGTATGCTGCTGGAAATAATTAAAGAAAAACCCTTCGAACTGCTGAGCTTGTGCATAGCACTAAATGTGCTGGGCTCAATGCAGAGGCCTGCTGAGTACCTTGGGTATAGACACATTAGCCTGGAGGCCTTTGATTTTCACATTATCCTGTTTTGCTGACAGGTCTGTTTGCCCATGTCCTGTGTTTGTAGATCCGGGCACTGCTCCCTCCATCTTCGATCCCCTGGAATCGTGCTTTTCCGTGCTCTGCACAACAGAAATGAGATTCCCTGACATCACCTGATAGCACCTCCTCAACTGTTCATACCCAAATACACAGCAATATCTATTCACACAACCTGAGATAAATTCAATGCAGTTCAAATAAAGTTTTCATTACAGAGAAGTAGAAATGTTTACAACAGGGAAAGAAGGATTTAATGACGCAGTTTTCCTCCCCAATTGCCACTACAACTGATGTTACTGGTGTGAACATAAATCCCATGACAATCACACCAAAAAACTAACAAAAAGTGCTATCATTTAACCAAATATGATGATCAGAAATGTACAGCATTCTGCATCAGTGCTCACACCATGCAGAACGTTAATTGATAAAGTGCTAGGGTAAAACAAGCTTGTCTGTCACGGGATACAGTACACATCCAAAAATACCATTCCTAGACTCGAGCTCACATTAGGATGGACTTGTGAATACTTCACATAGTAGAAGTATGATTATTTTTAATAACATGATGATTATGATTATATATGGAAGGGTTACCAAATATCTTAAATCCGTATGTTTTCCTGAAAATTTTTAATGACTGTCTTGTCACCACGGAAAAAAAAACAATGTTAAGGGTTATAAGAAAAAATATGAATTTGGTTATTTATCCTGGTTATTTGGTTTAAACTATTTTCCCTTCAATAAAACCACTTACTGAGTCTGATACTGTTGATTTGCTGATCTGATAAGCTTCATTTAGCACCTTGCTGTGCAGATCATCCAGAATAGAAGCAGGATGCCGATTGCTTGCAAAATGAACCATCGCCTCTATGTATCTAAGAACGAACATAAAAAAATGAATTACAATGTCCAAAACAGCAAAGGTAGAGAACGCAATCTAGTGTGCACCTACATGATTAAATGAGCAAAACCACAGACTACGTGAACCAAATCTTAAAAAGATCATATTCAGGAATGAATCTGTTCAGTTCCAGAAGTCCTGGAAAATACAAACAGTAGCTACTGCAGGAATTATTACACTGAACATGTGTAATAGAGAAAGATCCACAGTAATTCTGATTCATTAATAAAGCATCAGGAGGACCGGCTGGTTTAAAACAAAAACAGCAAACAAGCCAATCTTTTGGAAAGATTCTATAGAAACAAGATCGCTATTGAAACATTACTGGGCAGACCTTTCTACAAAGCAGTAGCTCATTGTTTATGAGTCTTAGGTGTCACGCCCGACATCCCTCCCTAGAGGGCACTCCACTGCTCTCATTATTGTTCGTGTCATTTAGCTCTCCAGGTGTACCCTTTTAGTGTTATTTAAAGACCAGCTCCTCCAGTCCTCGGGGCTCATCATTAGGGAAAGATGTCGCGAGGCCCGCCTAGCACCAGGAAACCCTACGTCCGTCTCCTGAGGGCATAGGCCTCATCCAAGACACCTCCCGTTTCCTGAGCCCGGGGTCTGGAGGATCTCGCCCCGTCACCCTTGGACCTCCATGTTTCGTTTGTCTGTGTGCTCCCCCCTTCCGGGGATTTTAACTTTGTCGCGTTCCAGGATGGATTTCCAGTTGACGGACTTTCGGACCGTGCTTTGACCTGCCCTTGGACCCGTTTGGATTTGGATGCCGTTTTGTCTTCCCCGTACACTGTCTCACGGACTGTCACTATTATTTTGTGCACTATTAAACCCCTGTGTGTTCCTTTTTACCACGCCTCCTGTTTTCTCCAGCTCTTACCGCATCGCATAGAGTCTTCTACAACATCCGACACGGATTCCAGTCCGTGTCTGTTACATTAGGACTCTGATAAGCACAGCATGGGTGAATATGATGCAGCACTCCCTTCAGTTCAGACACTGAGCAGTGTGGCGATAGTGGCCTACTTTTCTGTGTTTCTTATTATGTAAGAAAATATTTATATGATTGTCTGCCAGATTACGCTGAAGAACATCTGTGCACTATACTATGTTTTATACACACTAACCTTGTTTGCAATTAAATGAACAGCAAACTTCCTATGTTACCTGTCTAGAGCCTCTGCCACCAGGGGTGTTAATACCACATCCACTGCTCCTTTCACTTCAACTATAGCAGTAGTCCTCGTCTGAGAGAGGGGCTGATCGAGGCTCCAGTCATCGGTGGTGGTCTCATCATCTGTATTTTCCATAGCTTTCTTCTCCAAAGGAGTGTATGGTGTGCTAGGGCAAATAAAACGTTATTACATTCTTTATTTGAACACCTCAGGATTTATTCAATCTACTGAAGAGACCTGATCCAAGTATTCAAAGTACACAATCGGAGAGATCAAACTGGATCCAGCCTTTAGCCAAAGAAACAGGTTAGCTGGGCTGAATGACCTCCTCTTCTTTGTAACCTCCTGTTGTGTCACATCATTCCCATTTCAAAATGTAGATGATTTTTTACTAAATGTGGTTATAAGTTAATAAGTTAAACATAAGAGAACAAAATAGAAGGTTTACTTACCTGCATGATCCTCCCATTAGTTGAACACCTCTGTCCAGCAAGGAACTGGCAGCCAGGCCATGCTTCACTATCTAAAACAAAATATTACAATAGGTAGCCTATATCTTAAGCAGTGGTTTGTTATGCTGTTAAGTATAGCTAAGGGTTGTTCGACATTGGTCCTGAAGGGCTATTTTCTCTGCAGCGTTTTTTCCAATGTAGGTCTGTTTAAGGTGGAGAGAACAATTTTAAGGAGCAGGACAATCCTAGTATCTTGCATATATAATACAAATAAGAAAGTCTGCAGAATTGCTTTTATTTCAATATAGAATCAGGACAGAAGATTTTAAGCAACAACTTATACACAGCTTAAAGGGGAACTGCGTCCCAATTTCTCAGACTGGTCATTAAATCTCATTAATTATTAAAAATTAAAAATGAATTGACGTTACAGGAAAAAAATTACAAATTTTGAATTAAGCACAAAATCATGACCTTGGTGAAAGTATTGCAAGTCGCTATATTGCTGCAAAATTGCACAGAACTGTGACGTGAAGTGGCTCTTCCTGCTCACTAGTCACCATAATGACTAATGTAATGTGATGTACGAGCAAATCAGTACAGCTTGTCCACCAGACATTTCACCGCAGAAATCTGCCAACATGAACTTCATGCAGAGATAACACAGCAGTGTTTGTTTGGAAAACCATCTTGATATCAAGAGCAGTATTTCTATTGCATTAAAAGAGATGTATTCACAAGCCTGCGTGTTTACATTGTAATAGGGCCGCATCACGTCGCCGAAGGTTTTGTTGCCTCGTTCTGAATCCCAAAAGATGGCGCTGCACATACCTGGAAATTTAGTCTATTTTGTGATGTAAATTGGAGGTTTTACAAGTTACTGTGCACATTTGACTTTTACTGTGGTTTGAATAATCAATTCTGATTCTTTCTAACCCTGAAACATAAAAATAGTGCTGCAGTTCCCCCTTTAAATTACACATGGCCAATTTATCTGTACAGTTACCTTGAAAGAGGGAATGGAGAGCTGGTCAAAGGAGGACGAGCTTTCTTCGCTAGTGGGCGTGTCAAGATCCAGTGGGCGATGCAGTGAGGACTTTGAAGTTCTCTTGTTCGTTGGCTGCTTCACTGACCAGTTAAACACTTGGTAATGAGCCAGGTAGCTCTGGTAGCAAGCCATGACATGTGGTTGGGAGGTCACTTGTCCAGGCTCTGGGGTCTTCTCCGTTTCCACAGAGTACACATGCTCAGAAGATTCCTCCTCCACCCCCAGCGCAGACACAAAAGAAGCCTGAGAGGCATGAGTGGGGATGGGCAGAGGCCTTGGTTCTTGGATGACCTCCCCATTAATCGCATAGGTAAGCGGTCCTTCCACGCTGTGGTAAATGGAGCTCCTGCTGTAATCAATCTGTTGGGCCTGTTTCTTCTTCTTCCTCCCCGGGTAGGTGCCCGGCCCCTCGTCGCTGCTGATGGGCTCAAACTCCTCGGCAGCTGAGAAGTAGGCCTCGCTGTCCGCCATGGACATGCTGGAGTCCATGGAGCGGTACTGGTGAAAGGTATTGGAGTCGGCGGAGGGCGTGAAAGGGAAGGAGCCAAAACTGCGCCGCTGGTGGGGCGAGTCAAGCACGTTTTCGTCACTGCGCGACACCTCGCTGCTGAACTGCACCCCCGCAGGAGGGGGCTGCTTCTCCCCAAAGACCGCTGCCGACAGGCTCTTGGTGCTGCCCAGCCTTGCCGAGCAGACGGAGGACTGGCGCTTGAGGGGGGAGCGCAGGGAGGCTCTCTCTTGAGCGCTGCTCGGGGAAACGGAACAGCTTTCAGGGAGCTCAGAGGGAACCCTGAAAAAACAATAGAAAAACCAAAGAGAAATATTAAACTCTGGGGGGCTTTATTTGTTTAGGACTTCAATATCATTGTTATGAAGCTTCTAAACCACTTTATTCTATATCTAAAACCTATCTTCAAGTCAAGTTATTTGTTTAAAAGAAAGCATAAATGCTTCCACAAAGAATGGAGATATGCATCTAGAAACCTATACATGTAAAGACTCATAAAAACAAGCTCATATAATTCAGACTATATAGATTAAATTATATAAAACATTATATAGTGCAATAAAAATTATGCAATGTAATAAAACTGCAATAAAATCAATACTTGCTACAAAAGGTGTCGCTTCAATTGTATTTAAATTTAGAAGTGAGAAACTAATATAATCTTAGGGCACCAGCACGAGCAGCTGAGAACCATTAATAAGGCAACTCTTTCTTTGAGCTCCGATTTTTCATGTTTCCAAAACTGCTTGATACAGAGCTTTGCAACAGGCTAAAAAAGCTTAATTGCTTTCATCTTCAACAAAGAAAACTACAAGGAGACTAGATTCAGGTATTCAAAACCCTTGACAAAAATTAACCCACTGGACTCCTTCAGAATCAGCAAAATATAATCCGAAGGATTTAAGAGGAACCTACATGAGAGTGCCTTTGAAACTGAAAAGAGGAGGCCCATTTATAAACAAGGCTGGAACAGGCCACCCTTCACATTGTTGAAACCGATATCCTTGCCTCTGTCAGGAAATACCTCGAAGAGATCCATGGATCAATTAACTCCTGCAAATTAAAAAACCCAGATGGGCTGGACGGTCTCTCTCTGGTTTGTTAACACTGCTGACGGTTAAGGCTGTACATATGCTGATCAGCTCAGTCAAGACTGTCAGTGAACTCACTCTCCATTCATATCCTCGGGCTTGATAGTGGAGGGGAAGCCCAAGGCTGCAGTGTTGTCCTCGGTGCTGGGAGAAGGGCTGTCCTTCTCGCTGGCTAGAAGAGGCAGGGCCGCGCTGGATGTGCTGTTCTCTTCTGAGGAGGATGAGGAGCTGTGGGAACGCAAGGGGACCTGCAGGCTCAGGTGCTGGACTTTCTTGTCCAGGTCAGCCCCCGGGGAACGGCCTTCCCATTCCTTCTTCTTCCCTCCGTTCACCTTACCTGGAGCAGCAATAAGGCAGAATTTCTCAGAGGAGTACAAAGCTGCAGAAATGACAGTGTTGAAGGGCACTGGGATTGTTTTCGCTTTGTAGGAACGCGTTTGTGTTTGCTGTGCCACATGCATGAAGTTCAAAAGAAGCAAAAAAAAGTTACCCTCTGAAAGTTTTGGCGTCTCCTTTGTGATGATCCACTCTCCAGGCTGGAGCAGGGACTGCCCATAGCACATGTCCGATTCAGCACTGGAGCCAGAGAAAGCAGAGCTGCTCGAAGGGGTCATCTCCTCTAGCCTGAAGAAGTCCACTCCTGTGGCCGTGCCTCCAAAAAACCGACAGCCGCCGAGACAGCCACACTTGTTTTTGCTTCTCTTATTTTTCACAACATCTTCAGGCCAGAGGAACCAGAGCCTAAGGAGAAACAGGTATGGATTACACAAACTCATTGCTTACCATTGTTAATACTATCACAGCTAATACAAGTGATGTTTGTGATAAATCCACAATCGTCATCAGCTGATAATAGACAACTGGAAGGGAACCAAGGTTTTTACAAAACAATTGGCTCCTACCACCCACTGCTGGTGAGCTGCATTGTGATGCCACAGTGCATCACAATAGAGCACTGATTAGAGGAGCAATATCTCTCTCACAACAATTTAAGGATCCCATGGTCAATTCAAGACTTCCCACCCTGGCGTCACCTGGTGAAATTACAGTCAGTGTCATCATATGACATTAGCCCAGCTAAAAGCAGCTATGGCAGGCCTATAAAGCTCGATCTTTGCTACTGTGAGCAATTAACTGGTTCATTTTGGAGCCCCAATTCTTTTGAGACCTTTAATAGAAGTATAAGATTTGTCATCCCTAATACTTTGCCGGTGATGTTAAGCTGCTCAAATGGTATTGAGACTCGAGCTAAAGGGTCACCTCTTCGTCCTGCCGTCATGCAGTTCTAAGAACTGTCTCTGCACTTCATGTTTGGAGGGGTGATCTGCAGCCAAAGCCACATCCGCAGTAATGAGTCCAAAATTGACAGAGCCAGCTTCCAGCCAGAAGGACCTGCGGAGGACAGAGGGCTGAACGCCCAGCCTGTAGCCGTCCTGCTGCTCGATATACTGTCGGATCTGGACATCCTGAACCACTGCGCTCACACCCTCTCCCACCGCCTGGTTGTGGAGGTTACAATTTGCCAGTCGTATAGCACTTGTCTGAAAAGTAATAGGAATGATATGTGAAAACAGTGAACTTTTGAAATACTTTTGAGACACAGAATACATCATGACAAACAGTTATTATTCAAATAGCCTCTTACAGACAAGTAAAATTATTATTATAGTATTTTTTATCATTATTTTTATTATTGTATTATTATTAACATTAATAATAAGGAGACGGCACCCCCACTATTTGAATGCATACTGTAGTTCTCTGTGTGTCAACTTTGGGCAGCTATAGATGTCTCCACTTGCCTTAGCAAATATTAAAATTAATATTTTTCCATGTATTGTAAATCACAAAATAAAAATATCAAAAAATGAAACCATCAGAAATTAGAACGTTGACAGAAATGAAACAGCTATGTGAAATGCATTACAATAACCAGAACACCGATACACTGCATCCCTGTTCTTCCAATTCAATTTTTTTAAGAACATATCTTGCCAGAATTTGCAGCGCATACACTTCACTTTTGTCTTTAAAGGAAAAAAAATGAAATGCTAGTCTTGGTGAGAAATGACATCAGAGGAAAAACAAAGTAGCGCTATCACATAATCATAAATTGGTAGCAAAGATTTTTTAACGCTGTCCCAGCATAAAAGTGAGGTCTTATGACACAGAAGTGGGCTCTGGTTATATTCTAAGCAGTTTAAGCAGTTTCCTGTGTTTTTGTGTCCCCAATCATAGTTTTACATATATTCATGTGTTGGAAGCCTGCTAGAGATTGTTCTGATATGTAGGGATAACAGTTCGTACTTAAGGGTCAAGCAATAAATCAATAAAAACAGAATATTGACAATTGTATGCAAAATAGTTTATCAAAACTGAAAATGACAACACCCAGTCAATAAACCTTTAATTACAGTGCCAAGTTGTTGAAGTAAGGTTTTGTTCTTTCTCAGTTTTCCTAACAAAAGAACTACACTGTGTGTATGGATACCCAAAACAAATACAAAAACCCAAGAAAACATTATTTCAAGCCCATTATCGCAAGAGATATTTTTAGGACATTTGCATGCCTGCTCTTTAAGGCAGAATGGCCTCCTTTTGTTTAG